AAGAGAAGATCGCAATCTGGATGCTGGTATTTGCATACATCTCCCTCTCCCTATGCAAGCATACACGCATATCAATATCAAAAATAGGTACCCAAAATGGAATCCTGGTCCCCAGTGCCCCACGTTCCGGCCTGCGTGCTTGTCTTCAGAGCCGTGGGCCGAGAGGCATCCCCCAAGGCTGCAACCTCTCGCGGGTGGTCAACCCGTTTTTGTTGCTCCAGCCTGTTATGTCCTGTAAAGTGGCAGTGGTCGGCGACCTTCTTATTCGCTTCTACTATTTTTGGATGAAAGCACCATTACACAAGAAACACTTGTTCGTTTGTGAATGCTTGATTTCATCTAAATCTGACATAACGCGAGATGGCGGCCTGAAGCAAGAGGCAGCGCCTAGTATTCGAATGAACTGCAGCCATCCGATGGACAACTTCAATGTCGCTTGGCGTTTTTTCCTTCCGGCGATTGTAAATTTGTGAAGGTTCCATTCGCGCCTTCTCATGGACTTCATCCAGCTTGTGGTTGACCTGCCAGTCACTTGATATCAGGGAGCATCTAGGTAGTCCGCCCACCCCATCAAAGTCAATACGGAACTCTGACATCGGTCAAACACACTTCTAAACTACTAAACGTCCGGCATCCTGCGGCGTCGCCTGTTGTTAAGAGAGGGTTTTATCAAGCAACTCGGCCATGATTTATACTTGCAAGGCCAAAGTTGGCTTCCTGCTTCTCAACCAATGTTGAGAGTCCCACCTCATCGGATGCTTCCAGGACAGACTCCGCGGACACTTTCTGTCCTTTGGCGAGCGCGTTTTCCACAGCCTCGCCACAGGGTGCGGGCATGTGCGGCCGCGAGACGAAAAAGAACAGCCGCATAGGAACTGCAACTGTTGTTGAGCTCGCCTCTTACTCTCGGCCAGCGAACGAGGGAGGGTCCCAGCTACCCTCAGGTCTCCCTGCGGCGAATTGCAGGATTTTCCGCGGCAAGGCCCCCGAGTTGGCGGCTGACTTCGCATGGGTGAGGAACCTTTGAGCAACCCTGTGTTGACCCGGTGTCGGGTTTCGTGGGGAATCACAACACTCTTGGAGGCCCCCCCCCTACAAACTGGTTGGTTGATATTCATATGGGGGTCAGCACTAGCTGTATGGCTAACTTCTCCGGAAAACCGCGCCTCCTCACCATGCTGGAAGGCCGCCTTCACTTCCTCGGCGGCTTTTCGCAGCTCTTGTGGCCAGCTGTCGCGGCTTTCACCTCAGGCAAAGGGAGCTCTTTCACCCGGACTCCACTGCAAGGGACACAGAAATGGGATATGGCTATGAATCTTATGGGGAACCCCCTGAAAAGTGATTGGTGGATATGAATCCCCATATGACCGGAAGCACCACCCCCCGAAAAACACAATCCAATGAGCAAGGCAGTTCGCAGCAACGGCTGGCTCTTTGCATCGCGCACCTGCCATTTTGCCACCCGCAGGTCTATTGCTGTCGCTTCCTCTTCTTCTTTGGTTTTGCCCGGGATTCTTCGGCTTTCCGTTTGGCAGCCTTGGGTGGGTTGTGCTCAGGCACGCTGCCCTGCTGGCTGCTCGACTTCGCTTGCCTCGGCATGGCCAAACCCAAGCTTCAAGAAACTTAAGGCATGAGGCTTGCATGCGGCGGTTCACAAACAACCGCTGTCAAAACCCAAAAAAAAATCAGCTAGGAAACCAGGAGGCAAGCTCAGTCCAACAAATGTCCAACAAGTCTGGCTACTTTTCGCTGGGCGACTTTTTCTTCTTTGTCTTCTTCTTTGGGATGGGCGCCTCACGCTCCACTTGCTCCCCGTCATCCTCCTCTTCGTCACAACCTTGCGATGGGTGTTGCATGGCGCTCCGCATCTGCTTCTCCCACTCCTGGCAACTAGCAACCACAAACGCTATTGCAAAAGCTCGCGGGTGCTCAGCAAAAAAAGAGGGAATGAACCTGCGGATTCCCGAATAAAGGAAACCATGTAGGATGGTTTATCTCGGGGTCATTCCCTCATTCCCTTGGCATTCCATTTAAGCCCACTCGTTCTTTGTTCCCTTTTCTGCAAAAGCCGTGAACGTGAAATCTGAATGTTGGGGGCCACCGATTCACATAGAAAACAGTTGTGGATAGCCTCACAACCATTGTGTGAGAAACCATCTGCTGCACAATCTCCTCTAGAACGTAATCCTGGAATTTGAGGAATTCTTTGGAGATTCCCTGGAGGTTGTTGTCTTAGATATATGCAAAATGCCCAGTTTTAGACCAATATGACATCTCCAAATGGAACCCAAAAACACCTCCAGAGAAACTCCTTGAAGAACCTGGCTTGATTCTCCATATCCCCACCAGCCACGATCCAGGCCTTGCTCTTGAGCATGTAGAGGCGAAGCGCAGCTTTCGCATCAAGAATCGAGTCATGCGTACCCTCCTGGATCGTTTCGTGCAGCCAATATTCCGCCAGCTTCTTCAGGGATGGTGTGCGAGTCTTGAGCTCGGGGGGGCGCAAGGGTCGAAACAGCGAGGTGTCCCGGATGAGGACATGTGGATGCGAAAGCAGAAGGGCCTGGAAGTCGTTTTGCAAGGAATGGCCCACCACAATCTTCCCATCCAGGATCTTGGCCGTCATCTCCCTTGCGACGTCCTCAGAAAGGATGTCTTTTCGCTTCAAGGTGCCCGGGGTGATGCCGGTGATTTCCGTGCGGAAGTCCGTGACATACTCCAGGGGCTTAACGAAGCGATCCAAGAGAGTCTTCCCCTCACTGTCGACAATAGACACGCGCGCCAGCGCGGAGCGTTTGCCATTGCTACCAACGCCTACCATCTCGCAGTCTAAAGCCACCACTTTGTCACTGATGCCAATTGCTTTTGTTGGTAAACTTTCCTTAGCCTTCGGGGCAATGTCAGGACGACGCTCCACCAAAGACTTCCAGTTCTGGCTCACAAAGAACTTATGAGCTGGCTCGCGGTTGGGAGCTCGTGACTCTGGCTTCTTCTGCCTAGCCTTGGCATCCTTTTTCAGCACGCTCAGCACGCTGACGTCCTTCATGCTAGGCCGACACAGTTGAAGGTTGCCAGCTCTTGCATGGCGCTCGTTCAAGCACAGAGTCTCAGCAACACTGGCAACCATGTCTTTGTGTGCGTGTGTGCGTGCTTGCGTGCATTTTGGGTCAGCGGGTTGTACCACATTCTGTCCTGTGCCAAGAAAATAACGGAATCCAGCAAGCTCTTAGCTGCGTACTGGCTAGCTTGCAATGCCGTGGCTGGCTTCACCAATAAGCCGACGAGTTGGATTCTGTTTCTAGAGCCCAGGTAGCGCCATGCCACTATGCAACTGAGCACCAAGGCGCATAGAGGCACAGTTCAACACTGAGGGCTGGGCGCAGGGCCGAAGGCAAATCCCTGCAAGAGAGCGCAGGACCGTTGCATTTTTATGTCAAAACAACTGCTGGGCTGACCCTCGTGGCCCTCCTTCTGTCTTCCTTTTGAGGCTATCTGCTTCTTTGGGTGGCGTTCAAGGGAAACCACAAGGAAAACCACCATTTTGGGGAGTCCTCTTTTAAAAAAAGAAAAGAAGGCCACACCCAGTGATTTTCACAGACCCTTAGAGTCTAGAGGGGGTCCCTCTACCTCGAACCTGGCGGAAACCTCCGCCTTCAACGGGGCTCCTTTTGCAGGTTGGGGTGCTACCTGCAATGCGGACAGCGGAATTGCTCAGCTTCCAAAGCCACGCGCAAGTGGGTAACCTTGGTTGGGCTTGAAATTCTCGGAACTGCGAATTGCAACCTCTGGCTTTTATATTTGATCCTGTTGAGCAGCCTTCCCTTGGTCGCAGCCCAGGAAACTTTCAACAAACACCCCGGGTACGAACTTACATCCCAAGATATCCCAAGATCGACCCCAGGCACCTCTTTTTCTAGCCAAGGTCACTGAGAACTGGGAACATGAACCAGGGCCCCCACCTGGAAATTGAACCAGCAATCGATTCAGAATGGCGGGCACATTTACAGCTCCAGGCCAGCGTGTCTTCAAAAGGCCAGCCCAAGCTTTTATCCAGTCTGCAAATTTAACTCTAATTCCAAAAGTGGAATTAAGGGATCCCCAAGAAAAGAACCTTTAGTATGGTGGGCTTCTTATGCCCCTATAAAATAGCTCAAATACGGCTGTGACAATGGGTTGCCCTGGTAAGTGGAAACATGGGTACCCAAAACCTGCGGTTTGCCCCACCGATCGTTGAATTTTGAGACACCCATACAGTTCCATCCATTGGAATCAGAACTCAGCACGCGCCTGGTGAACATCCCAGCAGCCCCAGTCAGGAGGCACACGATGAGCCACACAGCCATGAGACTTCGGCCTTGGGCTCGCGCCGAAGCCGAGCCAGCCAGAAACAGAAGGAAAAAAAGGCAACAGGTCAAATAGACGCCCCTGCAGCTCAAGAAAAAAACAGTCCCCGTTGCACCCTTGCAAAGTTGAACGGAAACGCCCGCCTGGCATGAAAGAGACGGTCTCCCAAGCGAGACCAAAACGAGCGGAGGAAGAAATCTTGGCCAAGGAGCTGCACGCGGCAGTTGCCACGGATAGTTCGGTTCAGTAAGCTGATGTCATGGGCGGTGAGCCCAAAGGCTGCCATTCGAACGAATTCGAGCCTTGGTCTTGGAGGGTACCCTTCTTCCTTGGTGTTTTTAGTGGGTATGATTTTTAACAAGGGGCCTTTTGGTGGACATCACTTGTTGGTGGGGATTCGTGTCCACCAATCACTTTTGAGGTGGTTCCCTGTTAAAATTCATGGCTAAATGGAAGGGGAGGGTCCCCCAGAAGAGACACCACCATTTCTGTCTGCCAGTGCCATTTGGCCATGGGTCAACATCGCTTACCCCCAGTGAACATCCCAATCCCCACAAAAATTGACTAAAATGGGTGGTGCACCTACCCCAAAATGGTACCATTGGTTTTGACCCACAGCCATTTGTGTCTGACACCATATTGACCCTGTGCCGTGCCTGCGCCACGTCCAGCACCTCTGGCGACCTTGAGCCAACCACCCCCAGCAGCCCAGCTGGCGACCGGAAACCGAGGCTTTGTGGCCCTGGCTCCCAGGCATCGCGGATGATGCGCAGGGACGACCACCTCGGTCAGAAAGTCTCAAGGTTGGCCTGCAGAAAAGGTGAGGCTGGTCTGAATGGCATACGTGCCGAGCCACCACAGCTCCCGAGGAATAGCTAGGCCCTCCTGGCGAACGGTTACAAGGATGCTGGGGGGGGGGTGTGCTCAGCCAACATGCGATTGCTGGCAAAGGGCTTTCTACTTGCTGGTGCGATGGGCAGCGAATGAGAAATGGAATGACCCGAGATAAACCATCCCCTATGGTTTCCTTCATTCGGGAATATCCAGGTTCATTCCATTTCTCATTCCCTGCATCTCTCGCAGCTGAAAGGTGTCCTCTGCTTGGCCGTGCAGCTCCAGCGACAGGCCGCACAAGTGAGCTGGCCTTGGACTTCGCAACGGGAGAGTCTAGTCGTTGCCACCGTTGCGCACAAAACGATCCCAGCAAAGTTGCGGTCATTCACTGCTGCGGATTTCCTGCCAAACTGCCAGTTGAGCTACCCAGGACGTGCGGCAAAATAAATCCCGCAATCCTTGCTGCTTTGTCCTACAAAGTGAAAAGGGGGAGCCAGCAGTCTTTCCAGGGCCCTTAGGAGCCAACTCTGCCGAAGGCCTTAAGTGGCATAGCCCTGCCAGGCCTTGGAGCGACCCGCTCGAGAAAGGCCGCTCGGAAGCATAGGGATGCTTGAGGTGAAACGGGCAAGCCTTGTCAAATGGAACATGAGGAGCGACCCGCTCAAGAAAGGCCGCTCGGAAGCATAGGGATGCTTGAGGTGAAATGGAACACCTGGTCAAATGGAACATGTGCTCCATGCAAATCGAGTCAAGCCGAAATGAACTGCAAAACGTGTCCGAACGCAGCGCTTAACCCTTCCATGAGCGCCATGGCGTGGTACCTGCAGCAGGGCTTCCTTTGCCTGGCGCAGCACATGCCGTCCCTCGCCTTTTGCGCGCCGCAATGTCTGACTTCCGGCTGTCCAAATGGGTATGGGTCAAAATTAAACCACCAGGAATCGGACCGCAGGTTTTAGTCCATGTTTCCATTTACCAGGGTTCCATTGTTCCAAAGGCGTTAAGCATGATTGAGCAACCCAGCGAACTTCTGCTTAGCTTTTTGTTCTATTTGGGTGTCTTTTTCGAGGCTATTCCTTTTTCTATATGCTGAAAAGGGACACTTTAAAGGAAAACCAACCACATTTTGGGGTGCAAAAATCCAAAAACAAAACAGACTTGCCACCCAGTTCTTGGCTGCAAGAAGCCCGGGTCAGCCTCCGGAACCAGCACCCGCAAACGCCAGCGCTGCTTCGCCTGGGCTTTCTGAGCCCTCACAGAGGCGTGCATTTCCATGAGCCCTTCCCATGGGACCCGTTTTTTAGGGGAACCCTTCTCAAGAAGGAGAAAAGTGGACGCCACTCAACTGGGCATGGATGGGCATGGATGGGCATGGGAAAAGGGGGGTTGGAGAACGCAAGGATTGGGGAAAGCAAACGCAAAAAAAAATCAAAAAAAATATCCACTTCACTTGGGGATCAGAAACCAGATCATCTTACAGCGCTGGAACTTCTGGCGGCGCTTCTGAAATCCTTTCCACCAAAAAACCGGCCTCGTCCTCCGAGGACGGGCGGAAGGCGAGGGCTTCCGGAGCCTCACAACGGGCGTCCAAGAGAAGCGAACTGGGGAGGCGATCCCTTAACCCCTTATGGCCTTGAGGGCTGGACCCAAGGGGGCCGACCTGGGGAGAGGGAGGGGGCAGGCATAGCCCCCCCCCCTCCCCTCCCCCTGCAATTTCATGACGCAACCAATCATAACTCCACCATCAAACATAGGTTTGCAACCCGAAGCCCCACATATGTCCACCATGCTTGATTGGCTGGAGTCCTCGGTCGGTCCAGTGCAAAGTTGCACTTGAAAAAGCCGTCACAGAGCAGCCAAGAGCTTGCCACGTGGTCATTGATCGCTGATTCGATCTAAGATAGTTCCCTGCTCCCCCAAACCGAAGCGGCCTCCAGGGATTGAATGGGATTTGTTTCAGCCACAAAAAAAAATGATGCAAGGGGTAGAAAACCCCAATCTACCCTGGGCTTGGTGGTTTGCTACTGGAGACCATCTTAGATTCAACGAGACCTTGCTCCGTCTAAGGTCTCAGCTGCCTGGAAGATCGGGCCAAACTCGCTGGCGCAGATGAGAGCAGATCCTGCTGGTGGCCTCTCGCCTCGCCTTCCGAAAGCCGACAAGTTCATCCATTGGGGCTAGTGGATACTATGTCAAGCCATACCCCATCCCCCCATTTTTCACTGGGAGTAGTGGAAAACCATCGCGGAATTGAAGCGCCCACTGAGAACGCAGGCTTCCAATCAGGCGCCGGTCCTGTTTGCGAGGAGCAAGGCCAGCAGCGCGCGGCCCTCACCAACTCCGCGCGGACCTGGCCGAAGCTAAATCACTGAACTAACCACAAGCGGTGGACGCCCGAAAGAGACTCAACAAATGAGTCATAATCAAAACCCGGTAGTAAAAATGGACAACCCAGAGCCATGTAAAGAATTAAGAAGGCGGCCGCAGCTATTTATGGTTGGGATTGTCCCTTACTAACCTTCATTTACCCGGGTTTTGATTCTGGCTGGCGGTAGCGGCGCTGTCTATCCTCCAGGGCTTTGCCTGGGAGTCACGGAGTGAACCCTAAAAGCGAAAGAAGGGCCACGAGGGTACCGACCTGTGAGGAAAGTACAGCAACTTTTGCCTCACAGGCCGAAGGCAGAATAAACTCAGAATACTGCACCTTGCACGGGGGCATCCGGCGAAGCCTGCCGAGCCTTGTCCAGGGGACCGTGAAACCACATAGCACGCAACGCGGCTCGCAAGGGTCCCAGTCGGCGCTATAGCAGTGTGAGAGCCCGGGGCCACCGGCCAGGCGACTGGCCCATCCGGTCATAAGATGTTTCCTGCGACCTATACAAAACCGAAGTCTTCGCACAGAGGAGTTGCCGAGTGCTTCACGCAGTTGCTCGGCGTCCAAGCTTGAAAGGAAGTCGAGAGGCACCTTCTCAAGGAGAAACTCTCTCAAGAGGACCTTGCAGGCATCAATACGCTCCGGTACTGAAGTCAGGGCATCAAAATCGACGCAAGGGCGGTCATGGACCTGGTTCAAGCCGGGAAGAACAGGGCCCGCCTTCTTATCATTCAGACGAGTCCGAACAACCAGGGAGGCAAAGACAGGCGAATACCTCCAGCACGTGACAGATGCCCCAACCTGATCCATTGTGACGTAGAGCTTACGCAGAAGGTATTCCTCATTCAAGTTGACCAGCAATGTTGATGCCGTCGTGCCGTGGAAGCATCAGCCCGAAGGGCAACGTCGGCAGCGGAGGCCAAGATTGACACAGTTCCAACATGTCCGGCTCGGTTTCAGCATCAATTGGAATCCCATGCATTTTGAGAATACCCATACATAACATCTGGATCTTCCACTGGGCCTCGCGAGCAGTCTTGATCTTCCGCAGGAAGGGCGCTTTGTCCCCTGCAATACAGATGAAGAGCAGCAAGGCCTCAATCCAAGTATGCCTTCTTGAGAGGGCTTCAGCTTTGCCTTTGTCAAATATGCACCAGTCAAGCATACCCCGAAGAAGGTGGAAATCTTCAATACAACCACCCCAATACCATAAGTTGGCTTTGACTGCCATCATGTCAGGGTCGATAGTCAAGAATTGTCCCCTCTTAAACACAACGTGGCTGTGGAAGGGGGAGCTGAGCAAATAAATATCTTCCGGCTGAGCGTGCTGTCGATCAGCACGATCAGACTGTACCGGAGCATGATCAAGCTGAATATTGTAATCAATTGTACGGAGATCGCGGTGACGAGCTTCCCAATTACCAAGGAGGTCAACCGCTTGTCGTTGAATCGTACCCCATTTAGCCTGAAGCCTAGGGGTTAGGTCTTTGCAGAACACAAGAAGGTGTTGCGAACAGGGGCTCCACTGCGACCAGGATTCCCAACCTTCATCCCATTGACTGCGCAGATCGGCCCAAAAAGGGCATTCCCAAAACAGGTGCGCCAAAGTAGCGTCATGGTGTCTACATTCTCTGCACTCTGGAGTATCAGTGAACTTCTTGACAAATTGCATGTGGAAGGAATTAATCCCGTTGATCAGCACTCGAATGAGCTTTTGTTGCACAGGGTGCCCTTCAGGCAATAAGTGAAGAAGCGCAGTGGTTGTGCCGAAATCGTGGTTGCCGATCCCCTTCCAACAGGAGGAGTTGCATTGTTCCAACTCAGAGGCAATCTTGTTACGGAAGGAATGACTAAGAGCCTTGCTCATAACTTTGCAGTCGCCACTTCCAAAGGTCCAAAGCAGTCTACCCTCATTGTTGCTAACTTGCAAGTTGTCAATGTTCAAATGAAGCTGCAAATACTCCAAATCCTTTTTAAGCTGGGAAACAGGGCCAATCTTTTTGATAGAGGGAAGGACTTTCTCCCAGCTCTGAATCACAGCATCCTTGAAGGCGGGCCTCTTGAAGGCATGATTGTTCCAGAAGAGCAGGTTTCTCCAGACAAAGAAAAACTCAGGGTCCATAAGCAAGTAGTTTTTCTGAAACAGAATCCGGGCCGAAAAGGTCCCAAGCTTGCTTCCGTGTGCCGCTGTACGAATAGCTGTGCGAAGCTGCCTGAGCTGATCCTTAGTCGGTCTCAGTGTAGCGCCTGCATACGTAAGCATGGGAATAATGACCGTGCGGACAATCATATTGGTAGTGGCCGCAGGTTGGTTGGCCCTTGCAAGCAATTGCAGCGCGGTAATAGCTCTGTGTATTTTCTTTTCAAACCAAGTCTTAGATGAAAAGAGCCCAATGGCCAGGGGAACACCAAGGTAATCGACCGATTTGACTTCCTTGACAACTTGTCCATCCCGCCAACAAAGCGGTGTGGACTTCTTCACATCTCTGATTTGACAAGTCTTAATTTGCGTGCGGAAATTATGAAGTGTATCCCAAGCTTCGGTACGTCCAAAGGCATGCTGGAGTTCACTCGAGTCACCTTCCGTGAAAAGAAGCCTATCATCCACATAAACATAATTGTACACAGCGCTGTTGAGATCTCTTGACCAAACCGCCAGCACAAGGCTAGCAGCGGCCATACTGATGGGGTCACCCTGAGCAACCCGATCGTCCCAAGAACAGGCCGTCTGGCTACTATGCCGGAGGTGGAGACGAATCTCCTCATGTGCCTGATGGAATGAATCCAGGTGCCAACAGCCGCCTGATGCATACCCCATTCGGATAAGGCATGACAAGCAAGCCAATGTGGGATACAATCGAAGAACTTGACCGTGTCGATTGCCACACCATGAAATGAGAGGTGCGTCTCATTCTGGCATTTCTCAGCAGATAGAGAGGCGTGCAGCCATGCCTGATACCCACTGCGCTGAGGTACACCCCCAATGATATTCTCAGGGAGGTTGTCGAAGGTGATTTCACCACATTTCAAAAGCCACTTGTGGAAAATGCGTAGAGCCGTGACTTCAATAGTTATGGGTCTCATGGCATCGAGATCAAAGCCGGCGTCACCTTTTGGAATAACCACAAGTTTAGCATTAAGCCAATGTTTGGGAACCCTTCCGCAAATAACGCAAAGCATAAAAAGACTGTGCAGAAAATCTACGCCCCTCGGCGGAAGCTTTTTGAAATGCGCGTAGGTCCATCCACCTAGCCCCGGCGACGAGACACCTTTCCCGTTTCTGAGGATCCGATTGAGGTGTTTCACATTCCACATATCTGCAGGGACTTCATGGTTGGCATTGCCCACATCCCAGGACACTTGCTCATCATGCTGGTACACTGTAGCGAAGAAGTCGCGGATGACATCCACTGTCTCTTGAGGGGTCTTGGTCCAGCCATCGTTTGCTTTAATAAAAGGGGGGGGCTTGCGGGTCGGGGCCCTGACCCATTTGCAAACATCTCCAATCCATTTACTCTTCTGGGACTTGTCGCCAGGCTGCTGCATTCTGTGCTTCCAAGCTTGAAGTTTGTCAAGTGAGGGTTGACCCAGCTCAAGTAGCGCTTCCCGGATTTCTTCGTGCTCCTGTGCTTCACTGGATTGTGCAATGAGCTTCCTGTGAAAAGTCGCTTTCTGCTGGTTTTCCCAATGCATTTTAACTCCCAGGCCAGGGACTCTCTTGAAGTTGGTGTGGCCGTTCCAGAAACGAAACATGGTTGAGGCGAAGATGGACCAGCACATATCCACATCAAATTTCTCATAAGCCACACACCATTCATCTTGCAACTCATCCCACACTTCGGCGTGATTTCCACACTGCTCGTTGATGTGATATCCTTCAATCTGCAAGTATTGATGCACCTCAGCGTTCCAATTGAGCTTGGTCGAGATGATGGCGTGCCCATTGTCGTAGGGGAAAAACGTGATTGGAGGACCGAATTCCATTCGAACGTCTTTGTGACAAATAATGTCATCAATCTTTGTTTTGGATTGAGCTCTCTGAAAAGTGTAAGGATCGGGACCAAGCATGTCCGTCAATTTGGAGTATAAGTCCTCGAAGAGGATGTCCATGTCCGACCCCCACTGTAGGGGACTATTGAAGTCTCCAGCAATGGAGTGAGGTTGTACCTCCTGCGCATCGGCGGCGAGGTCCCGCAGGAACTGGAAGTTCTTCTGCGGGTCATCAGGAGCATAAACATTCCAAAGCGTCCTCCAAGTGGTACCGTCGAAGAAGTTGACAGCCAGGAATCTTCCCTGCTCGTGCCAGTACTCCATCCTTGCAGGTGACGGGCCCACGTGGGCCGGAATCTCCTTCTTGATTGCGATTGCAACTCCAGGACACTGCTTGTGATGCAGACCAACTTTGCCGCAGCCTTTCTTTTTCCAAACCGGGCACTTGCCAAACAGGAGTTGGTAACCTGAAGAGTCGGCCGAGTTAGCAAACAATTGAGCTTTGCGAGAGTCAATACGGGTTTCTTGTAAAGCAAGGATGGAGAACCCCATACTGAGAACCATATTGAGCTTGTCCGAGAGGCTGTTGAGATTCCAAGTACCAAGGAAGACCTCACTTGTCATACCTCCAACCAAGGAGAAAACACGATACAAAAAACGAGATACCAGCTCCTGAGGAAAGGAGCCTCCATTCATATCTGCGCGGTGAGTCCCTAGTCAAGGCTGACCGGGGAACCCATCATCTTCAAAAAGGGAGGACGCCGCAATGTCCTCTTCCATCTGCTCTTCCTGCGCCTGCACCTCCGGGGATTGGAGAAGGGATTGAAGAGCCTGTAGCTGTTCCGTCATGGCCGCAATCTGTTCCATGATCTGTCCTCGAGACATAGTGCCTGTAGCTCCCTGAGTCTGCATGGAGCTCTTGGTAGGAGTGCCAATCCGAATCCTCTTCTTGGGACCTTCATCAACCAAGGGGGCATTCCACCAAA